GATTGTCGTTAAGATTCGAGTGAACGCGCTTGAAAGAGCGTGGTGAGTGTGTAATGTAAGAGTGCGATTGTTGTCGAGATGCGCGCTTGAAGCAGCGTGACGGAGCCGAAGGGTGGGAGAGTCCAAGGAGACCAAGAGGGAGTAATACAAGTGAGATAGAGAAAAAACAATTACACGAGTAAAGGGGGGGAGCATGGATAGTGGGCTGAATGGAATGGCTGAATGGGGAGGGAAGCAGGGGAGTGGGGAGAGAAAGAGTAAAGACCATGCAATTTCACTGAATACTCGCGAAAAAAATCGACGTCATTATGGCGTGGCTTGTGACGCTATCTACCACGCCCACAGGCCTCCTTCTAGCGAACACACGATGTACATGGGGGTAGCCTGCGTTGGCACTCTGACACTCTGCCAGCTCCGCAATTTGACCCTGCCAACGGAATCCTCGCTCGTGAATACATAGAGAGGCAAGTGTCAATATGGGTGTTCCGATATGTGACATATGTGACAACCACCCGCGACAATAGCCTAGTCGGCCAGCTATGTCTATATGATGCAAGGTGGGATCTCGACCGAGGTCCACAGTTGGCACTATATTGCTTTGGTTATCAGTGTGTCCCACCACGTTGCTATTGGTAGCCGTACATAACATTCTCATCTCACGCACTTTGAAATCGTCGACATTCCTTTTGACCCGACTCAAATACCAAGGTTAGTCTGCTGGAAGCTAATATTCGGTGTATTCTTAACGGGTTTAATGGCAGTCGGACATGTCAGAGATCCTCGTTGGCGAGACAGCTAGGAAAATGTGTCAATGAGCGGTCGATCGATCCAAGCCTGGATGTCCTTTGGAGTGATGGTCACAATAGCGGCCATAAGGCGGCCCTCGATCGTCTCACTGGCTACCTTGCTCAGGCAGCGGCGTCCAAAGCTATGCCTCATCCGGACCAGAGCTCCTCGATTGATGCGGGGGGGGGGGTTGCAGCTTCAAGATGAGAGGGAGGCGACAAAGAACAGATCTGAGGATTTGTGATACAAACAACATTGGCAGTAACGTTTCTCCACGGAAAGGAGGAGTGGTCAGAAACCATGAGCGAGAGGTGAGAGCAAGGAGTGCTGCCCTAATGGTGTTTCCTCAAGTTTCCTAATGACCGAAAGGGAAGGGCATCCTAGTACAGGATTTGCAAGTCAAGAGGAACGAAAGAAGTCCTGACCAAACTGTTGAACTATTGGTCGATATTCCATAGGAGCTCCTCCAAGCAAAGTAGCCACACTGTTAGGGCGGATAGCTACTCGTTGTCGTAACCAATGGATAGTGCAATCCACGGTAGTATTGTCAACAAGAAGGTTATGGGATGTAAAATGTAAACAGAAATGAATAAGAGGAAGAGGAAAATGTGCTCGTCGAAGAAGAAGAATAAAAACCTCTTTTGAAGCCTGTGAACAAGAAGAAGCAAAAAACAAAGGCAAGGGAAGGATTCGAACCTTCGAATACCGCAGTATACTTCATGGTTAGCGATTCTAGAGCTGGAAGCTGAAAAATCGGATGTAGATGAAGCGCATTAGACCACTCTGCCACCTCGCCTTTATTGTTGAAGGAAAAATTGGCTTGGATTTTATTGCAGTCTCTGATTTCGATTGCTGCGGCAGGTAACATTCTCCCCCCCCCCCCTTTTTTTTTTTTTTTTTTGGGCAACAATCTTTGGAGCGCGGTCCTGGGGCGCACGTTGGAGTTTTGTAGCCCCTTTACCTTCAGTCTATTATTTAGAAACCGTCAGATATGTTCCTTGCAGTTGAAAAAAAAAATTGGGCGCCATCGAATTTTCTGGACAAGTGAACTACTGTCTGTCTATGTGGGACCTTAACGCCCCAAAGAGACTAGCTCAACACTTATCAAATCCATCGTCACGGTCAATCTCGACAGGCATCCATGGCAAAAAAGGGAGTGGCTAGGTAAGCTGGGATCTACTAGGAGGGTGAAAAGGCAATCATGTAAAAGCGAACTAGTACAAAAGTTATGATTGTGAGCTACTGTATAAAATGGCATGGGGCTTGTCGTCAGTAGTGGTGTAAAACTCTCTTCCTGCATCTTTACGTCCAGGCTGCCACGGGGATATGACTGCAAGAATGTCAATCCTCACAAGCGGAGATGAGTCGGGGGTTCAAAAAGAAAGTGAGGGAAAAGCGCTTTCTCTCTCTCCCTCATTTTTTTTTTTTTTTTTTTTTTTTTCAAAATTCGGGCAAGCGTCCTTGTCCCTTCAATTTTGGCACCAGGATCATTTTATAAAATTTATCCTGCGATGATCTAACAAGCGCTCATGGTTGCATCATAGAGAGGATTAGCCTACTGTATCCATGAAGGGGCCCGAACGCTTTGGCAGTGTGGCACCATGAACTTTAAATGCCGAGGAATCCAGCCCCTGGTGCCCGACTGATAAGGAGCCAAAAATTAAGTCTGCTAAAATTCAGGCTAACTAATCGATTGTCATCAACCACCTTGAACAGCGGAAAAAAAAGTGGAGCAGGGAGGAGGCAGGATTCGAACCTGCGACTACAGTTGTAGACCGCGAATAAGTCTAAAAGAACCGTGAGGTTGTTTTAGTGAGAAAGGTGCGGCGCTTTGGACCACTCAGCCACTCCTCCTTGCAATTCAAACTTTGGCGTGGTTTGCTTTTACATCGCTTTTGGCTCAAATTTGAGGTCATTAGACATGCTTCTTGGATAAAAAATAAAAATAAAACCGGCTGCCCGGTTAAGCCGCACGTTGGCGTCTTGTGGCCCCTTCACCTTCAGTCTAGTTATGTAGAAACCGTCAGATATGTTCCTTGCAGTTGAAAAAAAAAAAGGCTGCCCGGTTAAGCCCTAGCGACACAGTCGGTGGGGTCAGCAGCCAACCAGAGCTTGGGTGGACCTGCTGCCGCCAAGGTCTTTCGATGGACTCGTTGGCCGATCAGGCGGATCGGCCTCGTTTTCGTTTACACTACGGTGTTTTGCATATTGATGGCGCAACAATCATTGGAGTGCGGTCCTGGGGCGCACGTTGGAGTTTGTAGTCCCTTTACCTTCAGTCTATTTATGTAGAAACCGTCAGATATGTTCCTTGCATTTGAAAAAAAAAAAAAAACCGGCTGCCATGCGTGACCCTCGTGTAAGAAAGACGTTGGTCTCTGACAACAGCAGTGCTGTTTCCAATCCAAGTACCTTTCTGTAGGAGCAAGTACTGGCAGCGCCCCGTATAGTACCAAGGGCTCAGTCGAACTGTATGAGATGATGGTGGTGATGCTTTTAGCATCATCCCACCAAGAGACTCAACATACTCTACATATCACATTGTCGTGAAACAGAACCCTGTCATGCCGAGGTCCAATAGATGAAATGCCAAAGAGCAAGCACAAAGGTTGGTGCTGGAAGCGACCAGATGAGATGGACTAGGCATGTCCATTGGGTCGGCCAGAGTAGAGCAGAGTGTATGCTTGAATGGCTATCACATGCAACCGCTCAGTTTATATAATTTCCTATATTAAAGTTGAGACCAACTCTTTTTTTTTGTTCCGAGTTCAGATTTTGGCTACGAT